GGTAGAGAGCCAAGCTTCACTTTTCCAGTTTTGTCTCCTACCGTTTTTACTCACCCCGGTTTGAGGGAGATGATAGTTACGCCAAATAACTCAAGGTGTGGGTACGAAGTAGGGGAAACTAGTGCTACTCTCATGGAGTATATATGGCCAGAAGACTACCTTGAGGAAAGGATTTCAAGCCGTAATTCCAAGGCCGAAAAGGAAGCGGTGAGGTTGGTAGACGTTGAACAAGAGACAGAGGGTCATCTTAAAAGGAAGAAGTGGAAAAAAAAAGGTTAGTTTTTTCTGGAAGTTGGCCATGAAGCTAAAATGCTTCGTGTTTCCCGAAGAGCCGTTCGAGTGAATGAAGGGCAGCTATATGCTTTGAGTAATTGTATAAGTTGATGAATATAATAAGGGGATATGTAATATCTAGGCTGTCTTTTTAAATGATAATCTACTCTATTAGTTAGTATTTGATGTGTATTCAATTTTTATGTGTCAAATTATGCAAAATTTCATATGAAATCTGATATACAAAATCAGATGTTTCAAAGGTGTATTATGTTTTATATGGTTTGGTTTGGTGTTCGATTATCTTTTGTATATATATATATATATATATATATATATATATATATATATATATATATATTAATAATTTTTTTTTTGGCAAACTTGAAAGAGAAAGGACGAAGAGCAACCAACTCTTATTATAAAATAAAAGAAAAATAGAAAATATGATAAATTTATAGGAAACTAAGGGATTAAGTGATCCAACGACACAATATCAAATTAATATTTACCCTCTATTTACCAATTAACAAATGACACACATAGTCATCAATCCCTCAATATTGACATTTAGTGAGTCAACAAGTCTCTTAGGAACTCTTTCCTTCTATCCAAAATTCATCATTCTCATTGTAAAATTATGTCTCAATCTACTTGTCATAATCAAGGATATGATATGATAGTACTAATTTCAATATATATATATATATATATATATATATATATATATATATATATATATATATATATATATATATATATATATAGGGAATGGATCATGTAAAAACAAGTCTAAGGCTGAAAACTAAAAACAAGCAATCTAGACCATTAATTCTAATCTGACGGAGGAGATTAATTTCGTGTATTAGACATACACTCCCTTACTTCTTTCTCATTCACGCATCTTCTCTCTAAAATTTCTCTGCATTCATCTTCAGATCATCTCTTCGTTATCGTCAAGATGATGCTTTCTCGAATCGGACGTTCTATCTCCAGATCTTCTCGCTCTTCTCTCTTCAATGCTGTAAGTTTCATCCTTAATTTCTTCAAATTTCTGTATATTTCGCCAATTTACTGTTATAATTCGATTTTAATCTGTATAAATCAGTTTACAATTCATTATAAATCACTGAAATCATCAAGCAAATTCAATTCAAAATCAATGAAAAATTTCAGTTTCAATGATTAAAATGATTGATTTTAACCTAGAAATTCGTAAGAATGATTTTGTTGTTTCAATCAATTTGAATTTGATTTTTTGATTGATGTGTATGTAGACCTTTGGTTGTGAGGGATATGGAGCTAGAATTGCTAATCAATCGGGCGGAATCGCGCCACGCAGCAGTGAGCAAGGGCTAGGGTTTCTCAATGCTTATTTCTCATCAATTGGTGCTGGAACTGGAAAGCAGACATAAGGAGGAGTATCGTTGGAGTAATATTGAAAAATCTGATTTTAAATCACCAGGTACCTCCTTTGTACTGTTGGAGTAACGATCAGATATAATCTGAATTCGTGAAGCATAGTTTTTTGGGGAACTTGAAAACTGTTGGTAATACAACCTAGAAAAATGGAAGGAATATTATTGAGGAGATAGAGAAATAGTATATTGTGTAGCAAAGAATTGATTGGCAAAATTAATATAGTATAACCAATTTAAACTGTAATGGAAGTGAAAATATATAGCAAAATTTTACCTAAAACGCTAAACCATGTGCAAGACAAGTAGCATTTATAAAGAAATGAGATTATTTGGGTCTTGAAAGCTAGAACGGTGTCTTATAAAATAAGTTGCTCAGGTTATACGAGGCTTAGTAGCAGATTAGCATTGAAAGCTTTGTTAACTTATGTTATAAAAGTTCTTGAAACGTTGATCTTGTCAAGCTTGTTTTGCTTCAGTCTGTATGATGTTGGTATGCTTTTATTGGCTGTTTTGGCATGTTGAAAGCCTATTAGCTCAATTGGTCGAGCACCGTGTAATCACGGGATGTAGGTTCGAATCCTACATAGACTTTTTTAATACTTATTTTTATATTTATTGACCTCTGGGTAAATGGTGTCAAATTGATATAATTACCCGAAGTTAATATATAGTTACCTATTTTCAATATAATGACCTTAGAATTATGGAAATGTTGTAAATTTTGTTTCAGTCACCTTATTTTTATATATAGTGACCTTTATTTTTGTATATAGTGACCTTTATGTAAATGGTGTCAAAAACTCAGTCGATATAGTTACTTTAATTTTGTATATAGTGACCTTAATGTAAATGTTGTAAAAATTGTTATAGTTACCCTATTTTTGCATATAGTGACCTCTATGTAAATATGGTCAAAATTGAAATAGTTACCCTATTTTTGTATATAGTGACCTTAATGTAAATATTGTAAAAATTGATATAGCTACCCTATTTTTGTATATAGTTATGTTATTTTTATATATAGTGACTCTATGTAAATATCGTCAATTAGATAAAGTTACCTTATTTTAGCATGTAGTGACCTTTAAAAAGTTGTATTTTGTCAAAAAAAAAAAAAAAAACAAAAAGACCTTTAAAACGGTTGAATTGATTATATGTAAGGTTGGAATGATCTTAGGGCTTTAGAACCGTCTGATCTTTTGTGCTAGTAATGAATGGCTAAGATTGCTTGTTTTTAGTTTTCACCATAAGCTCTGTTTTTAGCGGAACCTCCCCGTATATATATATATATATATATATATATATATATATATATATATATATATATATATATATATATATATATATATATATATATATATATATGTATGTATGTATGTATGTATGTATGTATGTATGTATGTATGTATGTATGTATGTATGTATATATATATGTATGTATGTATATATATATATAAAATAAAAGTGTATATATATGTAAATAAATTTTTGAAGACCTTATTATTTTTTTGTTGTTAAAGAATATTAAAAATTCAAGGTTGCTAGATGTTCACTGTAACGACATTCTGAGGAATTTAACTAGTAAACAACTAATTTTTATTATTTATATAATGAATATCTGTTATTTTTTGTATCAATATGTATTCATTAATGGTGAAACCTAATTTGGTATCAACGTTGACATTCATCCGAATAATTTACTAGATAATTGAGTAAAAAACGTTATTCGTAATTCTTATAATTTTAGGAACTACAAATAGCAAGAATAAACTAGTTACGGAGTTTGTGTAATTGATAATATAAAAAATTAACACAAAGCGATACATGAGTGCTTATGACCTAAAAATCTGGTAATATAAAAGTCATTAATATGGTAATGTTGAAAAATAAAAATAGGGATTATCCCAATCAATTACATTATACTAACAGCGAAATTAAACTTGGCAACATAAAGGAAAATAAACCGAATTGGATTGAACTGTATTGGAGTGCACTAAACTGAACTGAACTGAATTGTACTTAATTAAGCTGAAATAAACGGTATTGAGCTAGATTGATTTTCAACGTTTAAGTACAGTAGTTAGCTTTTTATCACACCATTTAGTGCATCTTCTCATTGGCTAAACTTAGCTGAACATAACCGAACTGAACAGAACTAAACTATAATGAACTTAACTGACACGAACTGAAATGAACCGAACTGTAATGAATATTTCATAAGAGAAGGAAATTAGGAGCTTAACTAAGGGGAACCTGACCAAAATGAACTAAACATAACTGCACTTATGTATTCTGAATTGAACTGAACAGACCTAAATTGAACTATACTGAACAGACCTAAATTAAGCTATACAACATGATTTTTATTTTTCCATCAACTTACATGTAGAAATGAACACCAAAAAAATAAAAATGTCTTCGTAAGTACAAACACAAATTCGATAATATATTCACCACTTAATTAAGCATATAAAGGTTTTGAACAAACAGTAAGTACTACTAGCTTAACTTGAAGAACACTTAAAAAAGCTAAGAGGATAGGGTGGTGATCATTAATAACAAATTAAAACCTTCACCAATATACTACTAGCCTATCAGTACTAAAAATAATAAAAACAAATACTTCGATAATTAAGATAATTACATTAAACAATTTCTTAATTACCCGCTAACATTAGCTATGGGGAGATTTATTTGAACAAATTCCCCTTACAATTACTTACAGTAATTTAAATAATAGGTGAAAATCAGGCCCCAAAAATCGTTGATTAATCTTCGAGTAGCTTGCAGACTCACAAAGTCACAATAGATAATCATCAACTTCACAATTGGTTGAGAGTGGATAATCTAGACCCTCCAAATCAAAATCGCCGTTTTATTCTTGAGACGACCATATTCAGACGACGTATAATCAGAAGTATGGTTTTAGGCGCGTCATCGTAACTAAACAATCCATTAATTAAAAAACCATGATATTTCCAACTCCTGCGTTGGTAAACTCAAAACATGATCTTTCGGTTTCCGGTCACCAACAAAATACTGCTAGTGTTATTTTGGGTGGGAGTACTACTACTTGCTATGGCCCACATCCAATATCTTCCATGTTTATATTTTTTATCTCCTCCACGTCATCTCCTCCTTGATGACATAGTAGAACCGAGGACGTCGAACACAGCCTCGGTGCCACCTCATCCTTCTTCTCAATCTCCCCAGAAAGTGACGGCACGCCGTTTACCGGCACCGTTGGTAGGTAAAAGTTGGTCTGAGCGTGGGGCCCACGTATTAGGAGAGCTGCTTTGTCGTAAATCATGGCAGCTTCTTCGGTTGTATGCCTGTATCAAATGTTCCGAGCCAAACCGCTGAACGTTTCTCCGGATATCGAATCTCCGCTACGTATTTCCCCCAAGGACGTTGCCGGAATCCTCTGTATTTCCGGGTATTCTCGTTCTGAACCCGCTTACCATATTGCCTCATTATTCTTGTCTGGGGTTGCGGGTAATCTTGCACTTGGAACGCCGGCTGGGTTGGGATTTCAGTCCGGGTTATTTGAAATCGGATCTCAAAAATGTGCTTTACAACTCGGGTTCGACTAGTGGGTCTGTCATCTTCGTCACCGGAAGAGTTAGTAGCATCGTCATCTCGTACTGAAATATTGAGGATTTTAGGGGAAGGATATGGGGAAGATAAATGGAGAAGCTTTGTAGTGACACTTTGATGCTCAGAGTATTTAGCCGATGTCATTATTTTAGGATGTTTTATAGATTTGTTCACTTGAAATGCAAAAAGGAAGATTGAATGGGGTTATTGAGTAAGTAGCAGAGTATGAAGATACAAATAACCTGGATAATTGGGGTTTTATTAAAATGGAGGTCGGAGTTGATTTTTTAATTTGATAAAGGAGGAGAGAGTGAACTGAGTAGAAGAAGTAAATGAGGTGGAGGGGAGAAGACTGGAGAAGAGAGCCTTTAATGGGAGGAATTAAGAAGACAACAGTTTTTTAAATTAGCTACTCGTGACATGTTTCAAGGAGTATGTTACAAAGAATTTTTAATTAAAAAATGTAAAATATGGGTGCCTATTATTATGTGTCACTGATTTTTTTGTTTGTTTTAAAATTTTTTTATTAATAAAAATTTGGGAGCTTAATATATTGTCCGAGCTATAACACAAATTTCGTATTTTGTAGTGTATTTTGTTCAATCTTTATAAGTGTATTGTTTTTTTAAAAAACGAGCAATTAGACTTTTACGGAGTACATTACATGTACAGCTCTAATTTTGACTTTGATGTATCTTTTTGGATTGATTAAATCTATATCCATAATATAACAGATGGAAGTAGAAGCAAACTTGAGACATGTTGCTATCTCATTGAAATTTTTCCCGCTCATTATCGTAATCCTAAATGAAGAAAATTTAATAGTATATTATTTCCTATAAAATCTTAGGAATATATTTCATGGTTCAACAAATGAAATTTACCTAAATAATTTACGATCATATTTGACAACAATATACAATCATATTGAATATAATACTCTTATTTAAACCAATAATATATATATATATATATATATATATATATAATATATATATATATATATATATATATATATATATATATATATATACATTGAGAGGGAGGTATAGCTCAAGTGGTAACACCTCGAAATTACTCTCTAATATTAACAATAATAATCCAACTTTAGGGAGTAACTTGGGAGTATTACCGCCACGTGATTACGCAAGGCTTAACAAAGTTTTGCAACGGAAAATAGTACTTGTCTTTCATTAATAATATTAGTAATAATAATAGTTTGTTACACTTTCAAAGTAGCTACACCACTAATACTATGTTTACTAAATTATACTAGGTGATCACCGCCCATCATTCTCAATGCAGCATATAGTTCACGTTGTCTGATCGCCATCACCTATCTACTTATCAAAATAATAACTAGGGCTAAGCCAAAACAAAACAAATATGTATTAGCCAAAATGCTAAGTACATACAAATGCTAGACATGTAAGATCAATTTACTTAATTAAACATGCTTTCGAAGAGATTTAACTTTAATATATCATAATTTATCCAAACCATAAACCATTCTTGAATAGAAATTCAAGTATAAGTTGTCAAAAGAACCAATTTCCGAAATAACCAACTTTCCAAAGATAATTCCGAATAGGATGGATCAATCCATATTTTTAGGTGCACCATGGTGCACATAATACTAATAATAATTGACCCGGACTTGGAATTGGTTGGAATCGGGTCCTAAAATTCGAATCCGGAATTGGAATTGGTTCAACCGGGTCCTAAAATTTAGGAATTGGTATTGAAACCACCCGATACCTACTTATGTATGTAATTGTTAAAATATAATACAAATTATAATTCTTATTTTAGTTAGGTTCATTTTTAGCGTTTAATACTTATATTTATATATGCATTAAGCTATTTGTATTTATGTTATGTATTAATAATACATTTTTAATTTACAAATTAAATACATTCAACATATTTTTATTATTTAAAATTTATTTATTTTAGCATATACTCCCTCCTTTTTTAAATACTTGCTCCACTTTCCTTTTATGACTGTTTTTAATTGGAAAGTTTTTATAATATTTAATTCATTTCTCACACTTAGTGAACCCAACATAATACTCTCTCTCCTCCCATTCTTCCACTACTTTTGCTTTTTACAATTTTTTATTTTCTCAACTACCCCACTACCTCTATATTTTATTACAATCTCCAATTTCTCCTAAAACTCCGCGCATGGAGAAATGGAGCAAGTATTAAAAACGGAGGGAGTATTAGATAACCAGGTACCCAACCGGTTCCGGTTCCAAAAAGTTGAGAATTGGAATTGAAATTAGTTATAATCGGGTCCTTAATTTATTACCCAGAATCGGAACCACCGGGTCCAATTCCGATTCTGGACCCGCTGGTTCCTAACCGGTTCCGAATCCAATTTCGGATACCCGGAATTTTTGCTCACCCCTAGTTAGTTATTATGGAGTATATAAAATCAAATTAACTGCTAATCCAAGAAATAAAAAAGTAAAGTTAAAAAGTACTCACATTTGCTTTTTCATACGTTTGTGCCTTGCTCAATAAGTCAGTGTTCTCTGCAATCTTTATCTGTACTCTCCTCCTTTCTCACTACCCCCCTTCACAATTCGCAAATTTCACTGCTAATCAATCTTTGTTTTTCTCTCCTCTTCAACCTTAAACAAAAATGGAGGATCTCGGTCTCAACTCCCCTCATTCCATGGGAACCACCATTATTGGTGTCACTTACAAAGACGGTGTTATTCTCGGCGCCGATTCTCGTACTAGCACTGGTAATTACTACGTTTCCGGCGATTATTTTCACGATTTATCACTTGCCCAAATCTTCATTTTGCATCAATTTAATTGGGTTTTATTTGATTTTGAATTTGGGGTTGTAACAAAATTTGAGGTTATTGATTCTAGGGTTTTATCGAAATCAATTATGAGCTTGATTTTTTCTGCTGTATTTTGCAGGTGTTTATGTTGCGAATCGTGCATCGGACAAGATCACTCAACTTACTGATAATGTTTATGTTTGTCGTTCTGGATCGGTAATGCCATTTTAATTAAACTTTTTGTTTAAATTTTGATTCTTGTATATAATATTAGCTTGTTTATATTTTCTGTTTAATGTATCATATGCTTTTTCCCTACATCGGAGTTGTATTCTTTGCAATGCTTACATTTGGAGGACATTTCTAGGGTTCTAGTGGATAAATGTTCGTCAATTGACTGAATTTACTGGGAAAGTTTTGTGGCACTGTTGTTTATCCGATGTGATTTTTGTTAAGACTTATAAGCTCTTGGGTATGTTGCTTATTGTTCTGTACATGGTAACAGGAATATTGGATGTGCTGTTTACTTGTGGGATGATTTTAGATTACATCATACGCTTACTTTTAAATGGAAATGGTTTGATATTCGAGTATGTATGGTAGGTTTGTTTAAGCTGTGTGGCTTTCTTGTATTGGCTTTTGTGGATACTGAACTTTTGTTTCAGTTTTATGACTATTGAGTAATTGACTATGCCGTTCAAACTCCCTGTATATTATATTGCTGGTAGAAAGGCGGATCAGGCAAAATTTGAGATTGTAACTCTTTTTTTCCCTCCCGCTTCTTCATACCAAACGCGTAGTTATGGTCTCCAAAATCATCTTGTGAATGTTGAAATGTTGTTGACTATTAGTAAGATGAGTATTAACTTTGTGGATGTTTAGTCAGTTTATTTTTTATTATGCCAGCTAGCTGTCTGATATTTCCTATGGTAATGTAAACATGGTGGAGGGTGTGATTTTTTTGTTAGAAAGACTTTTGTGTCTTAATCAAGATGTTCAATTTTTCTTATTTTGTTTAGACTGGGGGTGGGGAGGAAGATTTTTGTGGATGACTGTAGAATAATCACTTTTGGTTCATGTAGCCAACTCCACTTATGGGATTAAGGCTTTGATTGATTTATTGATTGTTTAGACTGGGGTGGGTAAGTGACTGCAGGGTAAAGGTAGTGTTCTTGGGGCTACTGTGAACATTTTCTCAGATGTCATTTCTTGGAGTATATCATTTGTGTAATGGTGGTGCTTTCATATTGGTGGGTGCTGGTTCAAAATGAGTTTTGGATATCCAATACAGTTTAGTTTTAAAAATATAGGGGTAATTAAGGTGTAAGGGTGTTGGGGCCTCTCCTTCCATGTTTTGGATGTCCAATACAGTTTATTTTCGTATATCATGTGAGTAAAAGGAATGTGGATGTTCCAAAAGTATGTGTTCGAAACCTGTTTTGGAGTATAAGCTTAGTTTTAAGCCCTTCAAAGAATGAGTGAATATATGTTATAATAGTTTATGGTGTAGATTTTATATGGTGTCATCTTTCTGCTTTAGCATTGCACTACTGCAGTAGTTCTCTTTTCTGTTTCCGCTTAGAAGGTATTTTATTAAACTATGACGGAGCCAAGGAGTAAGAATGTTTTAGTACTCACAGTCACAGATAAGCAGCGATACCAGAGAATTGTTTTCCTTCTGTGTAGTCTCTTGGAGTTTTAGCTTTTGGAGAGTGTGTTGGTTATTCAGTTATAGCTGAATGAACTTTTAAATGCTTTTGTACTCCTGATGTGTAGAGAACTTGAACTGTGTTATTTTCTCTGTTCCGTAATAAATTATAAAAAAATATGAAAAGAAAATAAGGGGATGTCATTCACTATGTGCTAATATATGTGTTTAATTCCAAACTTAGCTATTCCTTGGTTTGTATGAATTGTAGCTAGTGTCTAGTATTACTATTATGTATCCCAAAGCAATGAGTGTAGATAGAAGATGCATTGATGTTGCTGACGTGTTAATTCACTGATGTAAGTATGGGCAATTTGCAGGCTGCAGACTCCCAGATTGTATCTGATTATGTAAGATATTTTCTTCATCAGCACACGTAAGGCTACTAATTCAACTTTTAGCTTTATGCTATTGTTTGTGGTAATTGAGGTCTTGGTAATTAGGAATTTTTGAACTTCATCAATGGTTTCCTTTTCTATTGGCTAGCATATTATGCCAATAATATAATTTTTAAGCTTTGTGGATGGTGTTAATATATTATACTTGTGGGATGCTTTTAGAAGTGGAGTATTTGCATTCCCTATTGTCATAGTGAAAGTGCTATTATCTCTCTTGCTTTTGACGAGTGATCTTTC